GGGGAAATGAGACCATGGTCCAGTCAATCACAATTCCAGTTTCTCTCCTGCTGGAGGACAGGACCACATTGGAGTCGGTACAGGGCTCTATATATACCCTTAGATACATAACAGATTGATAATAACTTGTGTTTGTTGAGCCTTTAAGAAGCCAAGTATTGTGCTAACCATTTAAAATATATTATCATATTTTAAAATCTTCACCATAGCCCAAGAGACGAGTATTATTATAATCACCATTTTGCAGGTGAGAAAACAAGGCTCAAAAAAGTTGGTTCTCCTGTTAAAGGTCTTTCAGAAACAGAGGAGCTGGCATTCAACACAGGCTGTGTGACCTCAAATCCTACATTTGTGACCATCACGAACTCTTCCTTGAGAAACTACTGATCTGGGCTCCAGTTTCACAACTCGAGACACAGAAATCCAGAAAGACAGCATAGTTAAAGCAAACTGGTACCACGCTGTGGGGAGGGTGTCCTGCCTTCCTGTTCGGGGTTACCCCACACTGGCTCTCGTCAGTCTTGGGCAAATCATCTGTGCCCTGTGGCCTTGGCATCTCACCTGTAGAACTGAATCGTTAGATCATTTGATTTTTCTAGGATCCCTTCCAATTCTAACTTTCTGGAGTTAATTTGTAACTGAGCCAAGGGCAGAAGGCAGATCACTAGGCTGACTGCTTATACGGAGTCTTAGCAGTCTTAGAATGTGGGTCTTAGAATAGATGGTGAGAAAATGCTTTTAAAGAGCATGTAATTAAATCTCATATTACTCTTTCTTGTTATATGATACTTATTGAGTAAAAAGATACTAAAATTTTTTAAAAACACAAGTCACCTATAATTCTACACAATTCAAATATACCACACTTAATAGTTTGGTGAATATATTTCCAGGAAGAATATCTCCTCCCCTCTTTTGGTATTCACATATATGCAGAATTTTTTAATGTTTGAAACAAATATGGGATATTAAATAACCTGTTTTCAATTCCCAATATACAGTACAGTTTTCCTATTAATACCCTAAAAGATAAAAAATACAGTCGCAATTGCTGTAGAGTATTCCACTGCATGCATGCAGAATCATTGATGTAACCTCTGTTTGCTTCCATTAAAAAAAATTATCTGGGGCACCTGGGTGGCTCAGTCGGTTAAGTGTCTGACTCCCACTCAGGTCATGATCTCATGGTTCATGGGTTTGACCCCTGCGTTGGGCTGTGTGTTGAGAGCTCCGAACCTGGAGCCTGTTTTGGATTCTGTGTCTCCCTCTCTCTGCCTCTCCCCACTCACACTCTGTCTCTCTCTCTCTCTCTCTCTCTCTCAGGAATAAACATTGAAAAAAAAATTTTTTTAATATATTTTTATTAGGAGTAACTTGATATTCTTAGAACTAAATATTTCTACAAGCACTGTTTTCCCTGGGATAAAAGAACATGAAAGACATGTTACATAAAAGATTATGTACTTCAAAGAAGATTTTAGATGCAAACTGTTAAAACGTCGCAGAAAGATATATTGGTTTCCATTTTCATCAGTGGCTTAGGGGAGTACCTGTGTTCCCAAACCCTCCTCAACGCTGGGCAGCCCTTGAACACGGACTAACGAACCACCGTTGACGTCTCAGTGTGTCTTCAAACCATGAGAGCACTGCCTCCCTACCTGCACAGACCCGGACTCTGCCACTTGCCACTTTGTGACCTTTCGCAACTAACTTAACCTCTCTGGGTCAGTAAAATGGAGCCCATAACAGGACCTAACCCTAAGATTCCAATCTTTAGCCCATTTTGGTAGTCAAATATTCTTTTTCTTTACCTACTTTTCGAGAATTTTTTCCATGTTAGGAATATTACTCCTTTGCCTCTCATGTACTGCAAATAATTACCGTATTTTCAAAGGAGAACATGGAGTCTCCAAGAAACACCTTGTCTTCTAAGCTCTCGACTGTGTCTCGTTTTCATTCCTTCATCCTAACAAAGCTTTTTTCCTCTCTCCTTCCCCTTCTTCTTCTTCTACTGCTTTTTCATTCTTGCTGAATCGTCCATTTCATGCCTCTTTTCGTGCTCAGTGCACGCCTGACCTAAATAAAATCATAGCTTGTGAACACAGGCCTCTGGTGAGAAAAATAATTTCAAAAAAATTATTAAAACACTCGCCTCAGGTATTTACCTCTATCTTTTAAAAAAAGTTTATTTATTTTTGAGAGAGAGAGAGAGAGAGAGAGGACAGGGGAGGAGCAGAGAGAGAAGGAAACAGAGAATCCCAAGCCTAAATACAGGGCTCAAACTACGAACGGTGAGATCATTACCTAAATGAAAATCAAGAGTCAGATGCTCACCTGGTCAACCCACTCAACCTGAACCAACTGAGCCACCCAGGCACCCCACCTTAATTGTCTTTTATGATTCAATTCATACTTTCTGAAACCTGTTGGAATTCTACCCCTCTGCTCTCCCCTTGAGGGAGGCAGCATTCTAGGTTAGGTCCCAGGATTTTTGTCCCAATGTATCAGACCTTTTCCTTGAGTGTGGGTGGGGCCTCTGACAATGATGGGATTTCACTCCTGTGATCAGGTCACGTCGTGTCCCAAATGTGAAGAGATTTGGTAGATGAAACTGAGGTCCCAAATCATCTGATTTGGGATTAATCAAAAGGGAGATTATCCCGGATGGGCCTGAGTTAATCAGTAAAAGCTCTTTAGAAGAGGGACTGGGCCTGTTATGCCCAGAATTCGTGATCCCCAAAGACCACCAGGGAGCTGAGTCCGATGCAAAAGCAAAGAGGCTTTATTCAAGCTAGCTCGAGCTCAATCCCCTACCTGCACCGATGCAGCGGTGAGATACCTGAGAGAGAAGGAGCGAATTTCAAAAGCACAAAGGTTTTATAGGGATCATGGCCTTAGCCGATTGGCTGGGGAAGGGTCGTGGACTCAGCCGATTGGCTGCCAAAGTGTGGTCCCAGATCAGCAATTATCAGCGTCACCTAGAACTTGTTAAAAATGCAAATGTTGGGCCTGGTGGTCACAGACCTACTGAATCAGAAACTCTGGGGGTGGGGCTCAGCAATCTGTTTGAACAAGTCTTCCAGGAGATTCTGATGCACCTGAAGTTTAAGAACCACTGTGTCTGAGGATCTCTAACATGTTTGGCCTCAGTGTATACAGAATGTTTCTCACTGGTCACCTATGAACCATTGGCTGTCAGCCTTGCTGTGCTATATAAATACCTAGCACCAAACACCATCCCCAGAGACTCTGATTAATTGGTTTGGGGAGGGGTAAAATGCTCCCAGGTCATTCTAAGCCTGGACAGGGTTGAGGGCCCCGACCTAAGAGAAGCCCTCCCTCTTCTACTCACACTTTCCACGCCTCTCACACTCCCCTTCCTCCCACCTCAGACTTCGGAAGAATGCATCAATCGGTAGCCTGCTTTCTTAGAAAACATAAGTTACTCAAGGGGAGGAGGCGTGTTCTGAGGTTTGAGCAGGAACTTCTTTCTGCGGCCATGTCAGGGACATAGTCACTAGTCAGCCTGCCTAGGTCTGCTCTCTCAGGCCTTCCTGAAGAGAATGATTCTCCTGCTGACTCTGAGAAAGTAAGCTGCCATATTGTAGAAGGGACACATGGCAAGGAGCTGGGGGGGGGGGGGGGCCTTCAGGAAGTGAGACCAGCCCTCACTGACAGCCAGCCAGAAAGCTGTACTTCAGTCCTACCACCAGGAGGAAATGGATTCTGCCAGCAACCCCATGAGCTTGGAAGATATCACTGAGCTTCAGAAAAGACTGAAGCTTGACCAACACCTTGACTGAATCCATGTGAGACCCTCAACTTGAGGACCCGTCTGAGACATGAAGGAGTTTCTGACCCGCGGGAATAATAAATGTGTGTTTTTAGGCCACTACGTTGGAGATAATTTGTTACATAGCAATAGAAACACCACCGTGCACCCCACCGTGCAGTCTCCTTTACATGGAGTGCTTGTTTTCTCCATGCTTTTACCCAAGGTGAGTACTTTGATAACGCGCTTACCTTGTTTCGTTGAAATTGTCTGCATGTTGGTCTCTCTTAGAAAACTGTGGGTTCTATGACCGTAGAGGCCACATTTCCTTCACTTTCTGCCCTCACAGTCCGACAGGCATTTGGAAAATGCGGAACCAGATCCGCGCTGTCCTGATGAAAGTAGCAGAACTGCATATCCGTTAGCTGGTCAAGGGTCTTTGGCCAGCAGCAGCTTTCATAGAGTTAAGAACACTTTCAAGCATTCACATAACTCTAAACTTAGCAGTGCTAAAGTAGAGGTGTTTTTGTTTTTATTCGTATCATTTTCATTGCGTAAGCCTATAGAAAGAGCACCTGACTTCCAGTGCCCTCTCCCAATTCACTGTGTGATCTCGGGTACGTCACCTGACCTCTCTGGGCCCTACTTTCCTCATCTGTAAATGAAATATTTGGACTCACTGGGTGATCGCTAAAGGCACTTAATTTCCAGCATTTTATCCTTCCATGAGGCTTCAAACTAGAGAACACATATATTTGAAAGAGAAGAGGAAAAGGTCCCAGGGAAAGGAGTTAAACACCACTCAGTAGACTTAACAATCTGTACTCAGGGGAGTTTCTTCCTCGATGAAGAAGAGAAAAACAACACCAACAAAATAATTATGAGGCAACATCAAAATAGCCTTCATCCAATAGGACAGCGTGTATGATAAGAACATCTCAAGCCTTTTATTAAGTGGGTCACAACATTCGTTACTCTGGCTTTGCAGATACAGCAAACGCTGTAGAAGAACTCTGAGTTTTAAAGCAAAGGATAAGAAATCAACAGAGTGCAGCTTACAGTTACGAAGGCCAGGCCTCTGTTGTGTTCTTCTGGAGCCAGAGTCCTTCCCATTTAGCTCATTTCTGTATGAAAATGAAAGTAATCAGCCTCAGTGCATGAAACCATTAGCTCCTGCTTCAAAGCGCTGCATTTCAGAAAGGTCACAGAGGGCCGCCCCAGAGGCAACAGGAATTTCGCAAGTGATGTGTGTCACATTTGCATATGATAATTCGTTTCTCTATAAATACAATTTGTTCTGCAGATTAACGTTTTGTGTCCTCATTAGATAGCAAACATTTCCATATTAAACCCACAAAGCTGCAGAGCTGGCTCCGCCTGTGTTGCATGATAGCATTTATACCTCTGTTTATGCTGATGCCAATTAGCAGTGTTAAGTCTTGGAAGAATAAAGGACATCACTAATGCCATTGATGTAAATAGTAATAATAATGCTGAAAAGCTTCTGCAAACCTTGTTAACTTCAAAGATCATTAGCAATAAAGTACCTCCGGGTTGTAAATGACCGTGTTCTTAGGCATGTAAAGTACCAGCTTGTCTACAACACTTTGCTCTGGAGTCTGCTCCTGGCTCAGGTCATGAGTCTGTGGGCTGTTGCAAGGAACGTGCAATTAAAAGGCTGTTTCCTTTTACTAAATGCTTTAGTCCAATAAGGAAGTCAGATATGCTCTAGCCAGAAGAAATAACAATCTGCTTACCTTGTTTTCAGCTCCGTGCAATTCAGTTTGCTCTCATTCCTGAAGCCAACTTCTTAAAGGTGGTGAGGTGAGGTATTTTATGGTCCCATAAAAGGTTTTTAAAAGCAGGATGCCCCAGACTTACTCATGGGAGGATTTCGTTTTCCCTGGGCCAGAAAGAAAATTTCTCTGGTGAGGAGAACATCCAGGGACACACAAGATGGTGATGGACACAGGGGACGTGGGACAGTGTTTCTCATCTACTTCATCAGTATTGACTTGATGCTGGACGGAGGAGGCTGCTTCAGAGCAATAGCCACTGAGGAAGTGTTAGTTCTGTAGCTGATAGGGCTGCACTGACGTGGGGACTGATGGTCACTTACTCTCGCTCGGTGACATGGAATAGACAATCCTGTTGTCACCGTTGATAAGAACAGTTCCTTGCAAGGGTGCCTGGGTGGCTCAGTCAGCTCTTAGTTTTGGCTGAGATCATGATCTCAGGGTTTGTGGGTTCAAGTCCTGCATCAGAGTCTGCCTTGACAGTGGGGAGCCTGCTTGGGATTCTGTCTCTCTCTCTCTCTCTGTCTCTCTCTCCCCCTTCCCTGCTTGTGCTCCCCCGACAAAAAATAAATAAATAACTTAAAAAAAAAAAAAAGAAGAGTTCCTGCAGGAATCAAGTAACTTCACTTCTTTGCATAAGTTTTTTTCCTTTTTTTTTTCTTTGTATGATGTGCTATATATACTTAGGTTCAGCATTTTTTTTTAAATTTTTTTTTTCAACGTTTATTTATTTTTGCGACAGAGAGAGACAGAGCATGAACGGGGGAGGGGCAGAGAGAGAGGGAGACACAGAATCGGAAACAGGCTCCAGGCTCTGAGCCATCAGCCCAGAGCCTGACGCGGGGCTCGAACTCACGGACAGCGAGATCATGACCTGGCTGAAGTCGGACGCTTAACCGACTGCGCCACCCAGGCGCCCCAGCATTTTTTTTTTTTTAAGCATTGGTTAAGGCACCAAACATATTCAACTCAAATGTAAATACTTTACGACTAAAGTCTGGGCTGCAATACAAGGAAATTATACTAAAATGCATAATTTTATGTCATTTGAGAAGTCAAGCTTAAAGTTAGAAAGAAATAGCTCTATTTCACAGCCCTGCCGTTTACTAGCAGTGTGACTCTAGATATGATAGGTCCACTAAATGTTAATTTTCTCATCTGTAAAAGGAGAATAAGAACTGTACCGGCCTCAAAGGGTTATTTTGAGGATTGAATGGATTGCCCCAGTGTTAACGCAGCGCCGGGCCAGTAGACCCGGAAGAGAGAAGCTAGTGTGATCATTAGGACTTATAAGCATGTTTCCTGATGCTGGGGAATAACAGTCACAAAAAAGCCTCTGTCTCTTAGCGGGTTCAGAGAACTGCAGTCCTCCCCAAATGCTACCCAGAATCTCAGGCGTGCTGGATGCAGACCCTCTCCCTTTTGGCCAGCTGTCCCTCCCAGGCACAGTTTCTCCCTCCCACTGTAGCTGCTCCTTAAACAAACCCTGCACCCTGCTGCTGCTCTCTCCACCAGGTCCCTGGCTTCACGTCTGCCCCCGCCCCTCCCTGGTAGGTCACTGTTGTCCCTTCTAGTGTGATACGATATTCTCCCCCACTTCTCCATCCTATGTGGTGTCCAACATCACAAGCGTTGCCTTGTATTTTCAGTGCTGACCAGAGCTTTCTGTGATCTTGGCCTTTGATCCTCAGTGTTCCTTCTCCCCAAGCTTGGCACAAGTTCCTGAGGGGAGAAAACGGGGTCCACAGAACGAGCTAAGCCCATGTCCCTGAACATTCCTCTCTTCTCATGCTGGTTTATGCCTCTTAAAGGAGGACTTATGGTCTGTTAACTAGTTACTGATTTCCTTATGAAGCTCTTTCGTCCTCCCCGTAAACAGACACCCTGCTCATGCATTCCTGTTGTTCGTGTGTGAATCCTCGCGTGAATATACACAACACTCCCAAGCTAGAATTTCTCCTATACTTTTTCTAGGTGTAGAAAGGAACAAGGGACATTTAATGTACAGAAGAGAAAATTTAGGAGGGATGTGCTAATGTCTCAAAATACCTGAAGGGTTGGCCAGTGGAAGGAAAGATTAATTAGCTTCTGACAACTAAAACAATGGGTAAAGGCTATAGAAAAGAAGATCTTAGCTAAACTTAAGCTTGAGTATTCTAATCCTCATGACTGCACAGGATGGCTGCTTTGGGAGGAAATGAGCTCTCTGTTTCTAGAGGTATTCAAGCAAAGGCTAAATGATGGCCAACAAGGGGGATTCATGAACCTATTGGACTAAATGGCTTTGAATAATGGTGGCCCTAAATTTCTCTCTAAGAGGATCTGACAGGCACAAATAGGATTTGAAAGGTATATTAGAACGTGAGGGAGGCTTCAGTAAGTGTCTTGAAGCTATGCTTTGCATAAAACTTTACACAAAATTAATAAGTATCAATTATCCTTATCCAAGCATGAGGTGCTAAGCTGAAGGCAGTTGTTTATTGATTCCTCAAGCAGTTCTCAAGCACTTACTATGTGGCAGGCACCTTTCTAGGCTTTGGGGTAGACTGATGACCAAAACATGGTTCTTCTGGAGTTTATATTCAAATTGGAGATGGGGAGGGGCCTGTAGAGAAAAGAAAAAGCAGATACAAGAAAAGGTAGATCGATACGAAGACATTCTGTCAACTTTGCTTTTTTCTGCTTCCTCTAGGGTCTGTGTTTCCTTAGCGTTTCCCTCAGACACTCTTTGCTAGCAGCTCTCTGACCAGATTAAAGGGGAAAGGGTTGATGGATGATGATAGACAAATCTCGGATCCTAAGAGATGTGATCCTACCAGCTGTTTATCTCCCTAGACTCAACATGATGGGAAGGGCAAGACCTCTCTCATTCACGTAGTAGATTCCAAATAAATAAATACACAATAAAAGAATGTAGACTATGTTACCAAAAGGCCTCATATAAACCCTTCTCTGTATCACTTATGAGAAAAAAAGGATATAAAATTAGTTTTCTGGGTCAGATGTGGCAGACGTCCTTTTAGTTCCTGTGAATGTCTGCAACTGTTCGAGGACCACGCCTTGCATTTCCCTCGGAGTCTCTCATGGCGTTGGATCTTCTAACCCCCACTATTTCCATCACAGAATGGATTCTTGGAAGTGAAACAGTCCTGTTAAAAAAAACTCTTCTTTATGCAATGAAGGATGTAAGGAAACTGGAGGAGTTTCAAAGAAGAATAACAAGAATGATTAAGGGACTGAGAGCATGATTTATGTTGAATGATTAAAAGGATTAAACATGCAGAACTTGGCCAATGCTACATACTTAGCTCTAAAAAAAAAAAAAAAATCAAAATTAAGTGCCAAGGCTCTCAGCTCCCATGAAAAACACAAATTTGCATATAATTTGGCACATACTTCTACACGAAGTTCAGCAGAACCTTACTGAGACAGCATTCACACGATGCCAAAACCACTAGTCTGTTTGGTCAGTTTAAAGTACAGCCTGGTCACATGGTAAAAACTTGCTATTTGACCTAATTAATAGACAGCTGAATCACAGTGTGTCCACCCAGGGCCACATTCGCATGTGACACATCTGTATAGTATATAAAACAATGTAGTGCGTCACCATTCACCCAGAAGTCACAGACTAAAATCCCTGCGGGGGAAGACAGGTAGCCAGATGAGAGAAGTGAGCTGAGCTTGGAAGGTGCGTAGCCCATTGGAAGCGGGAAACTACTGTGTTTTCCAGCTCATTGTGGCCATGAGAAATTTTGGCCAGATCTCCTTGTCTATCAGATGAAACCAGTGATTCAGGGAGCTTTCGGCAAGTACGTAATGAGACACCAGCTCCAAGAGGAGTTGCTGGTGGAGCCAGTACCCCAGAGTGACATATCTTCGGAGTGGAAGGAAGGAGCTAGAAGGTAGTGGGGCCGGCCTTAGGAATGGAGGTGAGGAGGCAACTAAGTGGCATTCATTAGAGTTTAAAAATTCAGACTGTTACAGGAAAAAAAAAAAAAAATCTATTGACTTAATTTGAAAAAGTAAACACTGGGGGCATCTGGGTGGCTCAGTCGGTTAAGTGTCTGTCTTAGGCCTGGGTCATGATCTCGCGGTTCGTGAGTTCGAGCCCTGCTGTGCTGTGCTGACAGCTCGGAGCCTGCAACCTGGTTTGGATTCTGTGTCTCCTTCTCTCTCTGCCCCTCCCCTGCTCGAGCTCTGTCTATCTCTGTCTCAAAAATAAATAAACATTTAAAAAAATTAATAAAAAAAAAGAAGAAATTAAACACTGCAAGGAAAGTCATTCTGTGGATCCCAGTTTGCTACCTTTTATGTGGCTCACTTCATTTCCGACTCAGAAAACTGGAGTCCAGAGGAAGACAAAGGCATAGTAGGGAAATTATCAGAATAAGATCTGAGTAAGAGCAGTAGACTGTGAGAGGATATTGGGGTCCTTTTCTGATCTTGTTGTGTGGGTAAGTTACATCTGGTCTCAGAACTTCTAAGTTTTCTGCTCTGGCTATCTATTACATAAAGCACCTGGACAACCTGGGTTTCTGATTTTCTCATGACTCTCAGCCCTGTACTGTATTAGGACCCTTGTGAGGAAAACACACCAAAGAATTTTACAGTTATGATCCCAACATGCATAGGCACATCTATACATCAACATACATTCATGTGCAAGCTGACCTTGAATGAGGCATTACTGAATATGAGTGAAAGGTATTTTTTTATAGGACTGTGTAGGTTTGTCGAGGTTGTGCACTGCAAAATTCTAGGAGTGTCAATGTGACGTGAGGGCTCTGTGTGTGGCCCTGAAAGGACATATTAGTCTGGCAGTGTAAGTCCTGAAACACCGAGAGGAGCTCTGGTGTTAGAATTCTGAGACATCGCTGCTCAAACAGTCTAAAATTCCATGTGCCGACTACTGAGGTTTCTTTTATATGCTCTCTGCCCCCACCTGCAGCTATGATGGCAGAGATAAAGAAAGAGAGAGAATATCAGGGAAGAATTCTGATAAGAAGTGGGAAGTGTTTACAGTTGCAGAAGAGTATTGTCCGTTCTAACAAGTGGACACGATTTTGAGTAAAGGAGAGCAGTTGTCATGTTTACAAAAGGGACATTTGGATTAAACGCCCTGAAAAACTATGACAGAGAGAATTATGAGATTGGGGAAATATGTACTAAAGGAAGTGGTTTGAAAATCATCCCTCCATCCCTCGAGCCGTTTGAAAATCAACAGGATAAGGAACTAGAAAATCTATTCTAGGAAAGAATCCTCCACGGATTCCCCTGGGCCTGAGGGATGATATAATGGGTCTATTCCATCTCTAATTGCTAGAGTTCTTAGGCTTTATGTATTTTCCAGGGTTTTATAATGCTGCTGTTAGACCAGCACTGCACCCCCTGCAATAAAGGGAAAGAACCAAACTCCAAACAAACCCCACACTACTTGCTCCAAGGAGCATAAAGATTCTCCCAAATGGAAAGCGTACATAATAAAATTCTCCAGTGAGAACTTCATTATTCCTGGAGTCAGCCTACCGAGATGAGAAACATCATCATTTACTTCATTTATCTGGTTTTCTCTTTCTGGTTTATTTTCATTTCAGGGAGGAGAAAAGGCAATGGGCTGAACCTCACAGCGCTGGTTGGAAAGGATTTGTATCAGGGTGCCTTGGTGGCTCAGTGGGTTAAGCATCCAACTTCAGCTCAGGTCGTGATCTCGTGTCTGTGACTTCGAGCCCTGCGTCAGGCTCTGTGCTGACAGTCCGGAGCCGGGAGCTTGCTTCCAACGCTGTGACTCCCTCTGTCTCTCTGCCCCTCTACCACTCATACTCTGTCTCTCAAAAAATAAATAAATGTTTAAAAACAAAAAAAAGGATTTGTATGATTTCATATTCTGTTTGCTGATATTCCACCAAGAAGTGTGACTCTCTCAGTGGTGAATCCGTAAGAGGGAGATCAGGGCAGGGACAAGGAGAAATGGAGGCCTCCGCAACTGCCTTCCGAATGCGGGGAATAGGGACTCCTCCGGGGCTCAAGAACTGAATTGTTGGGTTCTTTCGAGGGGAGGTCTAATGCGTCAGTGGGAATGAGTATTGGTTGTGTGGGGGAGGCTGTGGTGACTGTGGCCTTGATCCTTTTTCGTCTACATCGTTGTGTTACCTGTTGTTCGGTTGTGGGTGCAGAGATAGTAGAAATTTGAGTCCTACCCAGGGAATTTGGAGCTTCCTCACTTATTGCACGTAAAGTCTAGGATGCCCGGTTTCCGTAGTCCAGGGTTCTCTTTCTATGGCAGCAGCCTCAAGGGGGCTTAGGAGCATCACATGGAGCCATGTCTAAAATGTGATGAGAGGAACAGATATTTCCATGAAATGCAAATGCAGCACTAACTGTAATCTGCCTTCTGGTTAAAAAAAAAAAAAAAAAAGTGGAAAGTCTGCTCAACATTCACTTTAGTTTTATCTGGGTTGTAGAAATGGGTCCACAGCCCAGGTGGTGGGCTTACCAGCCTTCGATGGTAAGCAGCCATCCTGACTTTTATCTACATCGCAAGGAACTATAATTAGAAACCAACACTTTATAGACTTTTGTAATTTTTTACCCTTGCTTTATGTGCATAGTAATTTGTAAACTCTCAAGATGTCTTTTCCAGTAAATATTCCTGTAGAGACTTCCACCTTCATGTAGTAAAAAATGAAGAAACCTCACCTGTGTTGATGAAGGCCACAGGGCACCCCTCATGGCCGCAAATTCCAGAATGAAAGCGTTTAAGGGTCCCAACTCCAGAGTCAGGGAATCTAGAACAAATGGTCTGGGGCAAGGGCAGGCGCATTGAGGAAGGACCAAATTCAATTCGGTCTTGTATGATGACATTTGACTGCTAACATCTCTTCTTTATTGTTACCTTTAGGATCTGAGATAGTGAGCCTGATAAACTCTCATGTTCACCTAGTAATTTAAAATTGAAAAAACCAAGATGCCTGGGTGGCTCAGTTGGTTGAGCATCCAACTTCAGTTCAGGTCATGATCTTGTGGTTCATGAGTTTGAGCCCCGCATCTGGCTCTGTGCTGACAGCTTGAAGCCTGGAGCCTGCTTTGGGGTCTGTGTCTCCCTCACTCCCTCTGCCCCTCCCCAGCTCATGCTCTCTCTCTCTCTCTGTCTCTCTCTCAAAAATAAATAAACACACACAAGATTTTTTTTTTTCCATTGGAAAAAACGTATGATTCCAACTCAGTGTTGCCTATTCAGCCCTCCTTACCTTCCCTGCTTCTGCTCTCCTTAGGACATTTCTGGATTTGGTTTTGACTCAGGAACATTTCTCCACGCAACTTCAGAGTCTTTCCTTTCCAATCTCCAGTCCTTCCTCCGGTGCCTCCGTCAATAAACATGTTCCTGTGCCTCTAGTGTAGGGCCAAAGCCTGTATTTTAAAGTGATGGTGTCACAGAATGCCTGGTGATGTCATAAAGCACTGGGAGATCTGGCAAAGCAAAGATTCTTGTTTTTATGTCCCTGGGAAATTATTGGGACCCAAAGGGCCATCACGTCTTCTGTATATGCACCAGTTGTTGTAGGAATAGTTGGGGTCTAGTTAACTTTGGGCATTTACATGTTTGGCAAATTTCTATAAAATGCCGTGTACAGAATATAGATTCGAGAAGATGAAGTTATTAAAATGGGGTGGGGTGAGAGGAGACATGCCAATGAAAACAGACAATGTGGATTTTAATCCTTTCCACAGGAATTC